TTCTTTTCTTACAAAATTAAATGCTTTCGACGATATACTGATTTGAAATGTAGCACATTGTGACGTAACTGCCTCCCACTTCTAAACTTAACGCCATTTTATCTAGGTATTGTAACTTTACACGAGAAAATAAAATAGTACATGTCTAATATTTTTTTCATTATCTAACTGACGGACTAATTCGATTTTTAATTTACTTGCCCTGGCAACTACCCTATTGTCGTACAGAAAAATCGCAAGCGGTCAAAACAACAAGTCTTTGACTGCTAACACAAAACTGTTGCAGGTAAGTCCGCCGCCGCCGACCCCCATGGTGATTGACGTGTTAAGTGTACCCTTAGCCTTACGGTGAATCGTGTTACTACAGTGACTTGGTCCTAAAAATAGTTGAAAAGAACTCGGGAAGTACAGTTTATCCAATTTACGATGTGCAAATTACGTTCTGTTTCTGGAATGACCAATGAGGTAAATGCTTTCGCAGATCTGTTTACTAATGAAGAGCATTTTGCTTGTTGTTGAGATGTGTGCACGTGCAATTGTCTCAATGTCGCTCCATTGGCAATGAACAAGGTTTTTGCAAACTTGGATTATGCACTTGGACTTGAGTTTGATTGGGTTCGTTGCTTTTGAGGCTTTGTTGTTGCTTACAGCTTTTATTGGGTAAAATGGGATTATATTGTATTTAGTTAGACTGTCTCGTTGGCCGAGCGGTCGTAAGTGGGACTACCGGGCATGGGGTCTCGGGTTCGATTCCCGGGTTGGGCAAAGTATTACTGGGTTTTTAAAAATACTCTCAGTAGTAGCACAGAGTCTGGAATTGTGCCCGGTATATGGCAATAACTCACCCCCTATTACATGGGACTCATAACATAGATAAGTAGTGAAAAGTGGGTGTTACATTGTATAGTGTTATAATGTGCACCTCTGCCTACCCCTTCGAGGATAAAAGGCGTGATGTTGTTATGTTATGTATTTAGTACCTAATGTTTGTAGAGAATAAAATCTGTTAATGTGAGAGTAGGTCTTTGGGCGACGGGTCATTTTTATAAAGATAAATTACATCTCATTTACGACTGGTGTCATTAAAATATAGGAAAAACTTTAACATTTTATTTAAATATACAAGTTGTTAGATATTCAAGCGTAAATCAAGCCTAATAAATAATATACTAGTTGTGTCCTAGCTTTAAGCCAATGTAACATCTTAAGAAACATTATGTTGCATTCCATAAAGATAGGTAATCAAAATATATTTACAAATTAATCGGGCTTGTTCTTCTTTCGGGACCTCAAATGTCACTACCCGCTATTTTGAGACATAGAGCCATATCCGAATTGTAAAACAATTTTACATATGTAATTGTTTAATGTTACCGTTCGTCCTAATTCGTGGAGAGTTAAAATCCAATACAGTGTAGTACGAGCGGTGGGGGACACAAGACGGACGAGAGGAAGACCCAATTGCGTACTCGTAAGTGGTCCCTGACTCAGTGCGCATAATAACATATATGCGGAAAATGTTCTACATTTTATAGGTTTACTAAATTAATTAATTTTAAGTGTGTAAGAGCCATGCTTCGGCACGAATGGGCCGTCTCGACCGTAGTGATACCACGGCCTCCGGTAACCTCACTCACACGACGAAACATAACGCACGCGTTGTTTCACGTCGGTTTTTGTGTCAGGTCAGTCAGCACAGCTATTGTTATGCATAACGCCTACGTTTCCTTTAAATAACTGTACTAAAACATAGATCGGTCCTTAAAATCTCAAGAATATCATCATCAACATCTTGACATCTCATATATTTATCTTCGCAACACGAATTAAAAATACACGCACACATGCATATAAATACTAATTTAAAAACAAATGTAAAAGATCCAACAGTCAAACTTTTTATGTATAGTTTCGTTGGACATGGCGTTAAATTGTAAGGCATACACTGTACCTTTGTATTATTAAATAAATAAAATAATAATATTAATGCATTGTCCTACCACCATATCACCAAGGATCAACTCTCTTCAATGTTTGGCAGTTGAAAGCATTGACCGCGGTTTTTATTACTAAGATTATTTTTAGTAGACATCTTTCCAAATAAGACGAGAAGCTCAATAAACATAATAAACTTTTAAAATTACCTAAAATAACGTAATGACTTGACTCAACTAATCTTATATAAGCTGAAATAATTATATGACATCTTTCTACATGATTAAGATTTAAAATATTTACTTTTTTCGACTAATATTTGGTGATATAAAAATAATCAGTCATCAAATATAATCAGAATCATTTCAAAAGTACATACCTATTGAGTTAATTTTGATCCATATTTGTGCGTTTAATTGTTATTTTATATTTATTTTGGGATTTCATTACTAATCTATTTTTGTTCTGTGGGGAAATCACGTGCAAGTTTTCCAATATGACCGTTGTGGCGGGAAAGTTATGTGAAACAAAATGGCGGTGATGCCGCCATTTTGCTGCTTTTTTCGGGTAAATTGAATGTTGTTATCTTATTTATAAATATACATTTTATATAAGTATTGACATTATATTAAAACTTTTCCTAAACATACACGTGCAATGACTACAAAAACCCCTGTCTGAACCTAATAATAAGTACCTTAAGATATATATAATCAAACAAACCATTAAAATGACGCCTCAATTTCTATGGAAATCTATGGATTTATTTTTTATTTGCTATTTATTTTAGGAATGCAAGCTAAGGAACTTTGTATGTGTAGACTTTGAGATCTGCAAATATTTATTTCAGACTTAGGTACGTTTATGATACCTGACACCTTTTTAATTCTTTAAGAGGTACGCATAATAATATAGAGGTACAATGTAACCCCCATTTTAAACCAAATGTCTTAAGAGATTCACATATTAGAGAATGACACTATTGTCAAACATCGGGAATAATCCCAAACTCAATACTGTTATTGAGATATTTTCGAAAAGTATATATTAGTAAGTAAGTAAGTATAATAATATATTCCATAAGTAATGTTGTCGATCGGTCGGTTAAGCTAAAAAGGTATGCAAAGTAGGAGAAGGCAGCGCTCTGAAGTCTTCTAACTACGGGATAAACATTTTTTAGGGGGGGATTAATCATCAAATGACTCCTCTCGCCTTGGGTGAGGTGAGAGGGGAGTATCAGACATTGACTAAAAACCAACCCATTCCTAGACCTGCTAATCGCGCCGCGCCCCGGCAATACGGAACAAAGGTGTGTTTGTATTTTGTTTATGGGACGACCTCCAGAAACCGCTACAAATCCTGCAAGCCAGGATCTACAGTAGATATCCATGAAAACTAAGGGACACTGAAGTCCAGCGCATCCCAGGGACATGAATAATTGTCTTGGCTTACTAAGTAAATCAGAAGATATTAATAGAGGAGAAGGAAAAGCGATAGTTTAGGCGTGAGTGTATGTATAATGGTACTTCTTCTTATGGTGACACTCCATACTGAGGGTTAGTCATTTGGCCAATTTTGTCTTTTTTCAATTACCAAGCAAAAATGTTTGCCCAATAGAGAGTTATTAATGATGTTTCTACAAGAACTTATACCATAAACGTACCAGTGAAGTCCAGCAGGATTTCGGCTTGTCGTCAGGGAAGAGGAAGATGTCCAGCAGTGCCCAGGAGCCACGCCAGACGAAGACGACCAGCGAACCGACCACTGTCACCGAGAATATGCAGTCCAGGATGTACAGCATCGTCTCTCTGCTGTTCTGTAAATAATAACTAGTGTTACATGGCTGTATGCTTTAACACATTGTTATTTAATCGGGACCACTTTTATCAGGTACTCGAAACGAACTATGGAATAAAATGTAAGAATCTGAATTACATACTCTTCTAATTTTCATATCGTCAGGAAACTTTTTTTTATAGCATAAGCCGGTAAACGAGCAGACGGATCACCTGACGGTAAGCAATCGGCGTCGCCCATGGACACCTGGGAACACCAAGGCGTTACAAGTGCGTTACCGGCTTTTTGGTGATTAGGAGTTTGAGGATCGTTTAGTTAGACATTCTGTCGATTAGAGAACCATGATGAAATTGGAAGGTGACTGATGGAATGTTGCGCGGCCTGCTTAGTAAACATATAGTTTGGATTCATTCGATAAGTCCAATTCTTCTGTTGATGAGACCCTTATGATTAAAAGTGGGATTTCAAATGTTCTTTTTAATTTTTTTTGTATAACTATTTTTAAATACATCTGAAGCTCAACACTGATCAACATCCCATAATACGAACAGAAATTAAGGAAACGTTAATGTCCTAGGTACTGGCTGAACTAAAGGATGGTGGCAGCACCATTTTCAAGACTCTGAGATGGAATAGATTACAACAAATTGTAACCTTATATTCACTACCAGTACTTTCTTTGTTGAATAATTTTATCCTAAAGGTAAAGAAACGTAGACGTAATTTAAACCGTGGCGGTTTATGGTGATCGATTATTACTAATAGTAGGTACGTCTTTGTTTGTTTGTGTCCACCACTGATATGATATATTATATATCTATGGTGTCCACGTTTGTTGCTAATGTGTTTTTGTTTTCACGTGTGCAAATTAAAAAGATATAACTAATATTGGAACCACATATAGGATTTACAGGTTTTCTAAAAGAAATCGGGAATAGATTGATTTTTACTGAAATTTCAATTGTCACAATGAAAACGTCCTAGCAAGTGTACCTTTGTATAATCTAAGATCAAACCCAAAATATGGACTGAATATCTGAATTGAATGCACTTATTCGGTGTGGGTTCGACTACGACACGGAGTTTTTTTTATGATCCACAAATTGTTGTTTCGGGTCTGGGTGTCATTGAAATATGTGAACTTAACAACATCACGCCTTTTATCCCAGAAGGGATAGACAGAGGTGCACACAGAAGTAACACCCACTTGTTAACACACTCACTGTTTATGTTATGAGTCCCATGTAACAGGGAGTGAGCCTATTGCCATTTACCGGGCACAATTCCGTGCTACTACTGAATGACATGTGAAATTCTGTGTTCGTAAAGGCACCCACAACATATGAGGAAATCCTAGAGTCATTTTTAATAAAAATAAAAACATTTCTATAGGTCTAAGTAACCAAGCCTATTTAGATGTAGATTCTAAAGAAACTCTTCACTGACATATTAATTTAAATCATAATAAAAATCCCGTTTGCTATTTGTATGTTGATTCAGTTATAATAGAAAAATGTACGGCGATCACAGTCATGTAGGGTGATTGTGGAATGGTCGACAGTATACGACATCGTTTTAATCTAGTACAATAGGTGTTATGATGGAAGATTCCGAGGCTGGGTAGCCTGGTAGAAAGAGCAACGATGGAGTTTCTTGTTTGTTTTTTTTCTCGCAAATCATCTGCGTTTTGGATCGAGCTCAAACCGACTAATGTTGCAAAAGTTCCTGTACAAGACAAAATCAAGTTACAAGTTTATTGTTGTGTCATATACATGTAAGTTTATATAGGGATTTATTTCATGTAAGTCTTTTTGTCGCGGAGAACCTAACGGGTTACCGGGGCTCGGGCTCGACGTGCAGGAGAAGGAACGGGGTGGTTTTTAGTCAGTAAGAGTTTGACACTCCCTCCCGCCTAACCCAGGCGGGAGCAGTCATTCGATGATTTTCCTCCCTTAAAGAAATACCATCCCTTTTTTATGTATTTCTGTTGAGTCAAATACGCTTGCTTCTCGCATCGACCATTGTTTTTTTTTTCTGCACCACCCAAAGGTCTGGCTGGAGGAGAATGCCCTAGGCATTAAGCCCACTTTGTACATTCGTATGTGCTCTTTCTTCTTTCTTTTCTAAATAAATTATCCTCTTCCTCCTCCTCTCATGGAGATAGTCTTTAATCATCAGCGAATGTCTTGTGGTTGCTGATGGTGATAATGGCAGGACAGTTATGTTAATTAAACTATCAAACACCAAGCGGTCACCGGTGACCGCAACCTATTGTTCTATAATTGTGTCTATAATGACGGTACTCGACGAGTTAATGCAAATGCAGACTGCAGCCTGCTTTTTTCTGTATTATTCTAGTTAAAAATGGTTTTAAAAATAAACAAAGTTAACTAAAAATCGCGGGTTACTCACGTGAATATACTGATAAAAGCTCTATTAATTTCGAAACACAGAAGGCTTCTTCCTCATGAGCATTTCAAATTGAAAAAACGTGCTACATAGTTGTCAATTGCGTCTAACGATTGATGGCACTAGTTGAAAAGAATAGAATAAAATAAAATGTCATTTATTTCCAAGTGGTACATTGAGGTTTTACATTAAATATTGTTTCACATACACTACCATTGCTGGTGTAGAAATATTATGTTAACCATGCTTTACAAAATAAAATAGATGGTGAAGTAGTTGGTGGTGTTGGTACAGTAGTTTGTGTACGATGTTGTATTTACAGTACCATGGCCCTAGTTGTATCTACGCGCATTGTTATATCTCTACTACTTACACTTTACTCTGCTATACTCTACTATTCTTGCACATTTATGAGAATAAAAATATGTGATCTTATTTTTTATTATTTTTTTTAAACGTTGTCCCACACTATGGTTTTCTCCTGTGTCGTGGGTGCGTTTACAAACATTTCGTTGATACGTTTTTGCATTCATGACAACATTATAATGATAAAAGTCTTGATTGTATAAGTATGTTTTTGATTGCATTGCGTAGGCCCTGAAACTCCGGAACCAAAAATGACAATCCTTTCCTAGTTTACTTTTCAGTAAGTGGCATATGCTGCTATTTATTTCTTATTCTTCTCCAAAACAATCTTCTAATTTCTATGCAGGTGAAGTTACAGATAGGGATAGTTTTATCAACAAAATAAGTAAACCATTAAATTATTAGTCACAAAATAACTGTCCCTACGAGATTATTAATTAATTTTTCTATCGACATGCAAGTACACAAAGGACTATTAATGACAAGACACAAGTCAAACATAGCCTAAATATATTTACAATGCATTTGATAAAAGTTGTACTCAGTAAGACATCAATACATAGTATAAAACAAAGTCGCTTTCGCTGTATGTCCGCAACGGATTTTGATGCGGTTTTTTTTAATAGATAGAGTGATTCTTAAGGAAGGTTTGTATGTATAATACATGCATATTGCACCCGTGCGAAGCCGGGGCGGGTCGCTAGTTATACATAAAGATTACAACAATCCTTCATATAGTGGCCTATGGCAATTCCTATTGTCCAGCAGGGGACTGTCACAGGTTATTAAAGATGATTTTCCATTGTTTGAATAAAACGACATCTAGTGGTGTCAAAAGTTACTACTATGTACCTACTTTGCATGTGTGTGTAAAGAGTAAAGTCAATCATATGTCAGCCAAATCTTTGTACGAGACCAGCTAACAAGCACAGTGTAGTCACTGTAGTAAAAAAAGTAGTACTGTAGTAAAAAAAAAACAATACTAGATATATTTCCAGACTCCGTGCTAACTACTGACATTCTTTTTTAAAACTCATTAATACTTTTCTCGACCCGGTAATCGAAACCGAGACCCCTTGCCCGGCAGTCGCACTTGCGACCACTCGGTCAACAAGGCAGTCTTTTCAAGAATTAGCTACACACACATTATTATCTAACCCTTTCGAAGAAACCAAGTAGGTACGTTAATAAGTACATATATTTACTAAAGCGCCTATTTACTATACATTGTCACAATTCTAAATATACGCCGTTATATAACAAGAATATTATACGGCGCGTAATATAAAAGTAAATCTCATTAAGTATAATAATGATGAATTAAGATAGTACAGCAATATAATAATAAAGTTTTACTGTTAGTGTGTTTGTAAACATCAGCTGACGCGGAGTAGCGACTGTTTATCAGAAACAGAGACTTGGAGATACTAAAATTAGACGCAAGTAGTACATTCCTACTAAAGTTTTTTGGAAAGCAATGAACCCTGTTTCTTTGAGTTTTTATGATGACGGGGTACGGTTCTATAAGTTGATTAAAGTTTATAGTTACAGTCCATTACTAAAGAATAGGTTTATGTATTTTATTGAGATCTATAACACATAACATAACATAACATCACGCCTTTTATCCCCGAAGGGGTAGGCAGAGGTGTACAGTATGCCACTGTACAATGTAACACCCACTTTTCACTATTTATGTTATGAGTCCCATGTAATAGGGGGTGAGCCTATTGCCATATATATATATTGAGATCTATCTTTTCATTTAATACATTTGGTGAAGTGTCAATACCTTTTTCATACGTTACATATTTCTTAAATAATCTATAAAATATATTAGTTATTTTTCCCGCAATTAAGAACATTATTTTTCGTTATTTTCATAAAAATAGTATCAAAATTTAAGACCTGTTGACCGAATCCAAATCAGAAACCAATACCGACTACAACAATTGCAACAAATGCTCACGTACCTTATGAATCCAGGGACCCCACTTGGAACCTGGATGAGGGGAACATGCTTTAATTTTATTTAGTGTAAGTAGTTTTAAGTATAACCTTAAGGCTTAAGTTTTGGTTATTTTTTGTTTTATTTGTTCATATTGTGTTACACTGCCCCGTTGGGCGACTGGTCGCAAGTGCGACTACCGGGCTAGTATTACTGTTTTTTTTTAATGCTCAGTAGTAGCATGAAGTCTAGAATTGTACCCGATATATGGCAATAGCCTCACCCCTTATTACATG